CTTAGCGTCTATGGCATCGCTTGAGGTCAAGAGCCCGCGCCGAGCCTAATGGGTAAGCCACCCGCGCCGGGCCGCCGGGGCTCCCCAGGGCTCCAGCCGCTCTCACTGACTGCCCAACTCCAGTGGCCCCTTTTCTGGCTCTTTGGGGGTTTTCCCCTGGTTCCCAGATACCGGGGGCCCCCTCTCAACTTTCCGTTCCCTGTTCACCCCTTCTGGGCTGCCCACTCTCTGTGCTTCACTCCCTCATGGGAGTGGTCATCCCAGATACACCTCACCTAGGATCGTGGTGGGGGAAGGGAAGATTCCAGATGTCTTCCCGTTTTTGGGGGGGGAGGTCCCAGGGAACCCTGCCTGGGTTCCGCCACTCCCGGGTCGTCCTGAATTTTCGCGTCCCTGCCTCCCCACTCTGGGTTTGCGTCCCTCCTCCCTCAGAATAGAGGCTTCCAGGAGACGGTGGTGTGTGTGTGTGTGTGTGTGTGTGTGTAAGCCTTCTTATGAGTCCTCAGGAAAATAGCAAAAATAAAAACATTTATATCCTTTTGTTATACAACTTTTTATATTGTGTTTAAGGGGTGCGGCCTGCCTCCTTTGTCCCGGCGCCTCCAGCTGGTGAGAGGAGGAGCGACCCCGGCTGAGTGCCCCTTTCCCCGCAGCGATCAGGGGCGATGGAAAGCTGGCGGTGATCTGGCCTCCCCGCAGAAAGGCTTCCGAGAACGGCCTGGAGCAGGTGGGTTCCCCTTTATCACCGCCTTTCCCCCACCACACGCCCCCGCGGCACCAGGACTCCGGTCCGAGGAAAGCGCATCCCCGCGCCCCCGGGGAAGTCCCTCTGGGGAGGACACAAAGTTCCGGGAGCGGCTCCGGGCCGAGGAGGAGGTGGTCCTGGGGCCCAAACCGCCCCGCCCCACCCCACTCCTGGGTGTTCTGACTGGCCCTTCTTCCCAGGAGGAGCGGAAGCCTTGAGGTTAGAGCAGGCTGGGATCCCCGGCCGAAAGTAACATGCCCGTCAGAGGACCGGACAAGAGGAGCCCACGCGTGCTCTCGGGATAAGCAGACGTCCCGAAGAGGGACCCGCGGTCTGCGCTAGGGAAGATGAAGCCTACCAGCCCATCCTTGAACTTCATTTTGTGAAACTGATTCGTTTCTGCTACAAAACTGTTATTTTCCATTGGCAAATACCACTACAACCACCTAACCAATGAAACGGTCCAGCCCTTCTGCACCCAACTGGAAACCGAGCGAGCCTCTCCGTCCGGTCTTGACCGGGGTCACCGTCTCGGCTTCCCCATCCCCCAATAAAGTCCCTTCTTGCTGGGCAGTGCAGGCTATTTTATTCTGGGTCCTCTAGGTCTGGGTGAGGCGGGGCGTGGCGAGCGGAGCAGAAAGCAGCAGGAGGCGCCGGCGCCGACGGTAAGGCGGAATGTGCCCTGAACGCCCGGTTCCTGGGCTGCTGATCCACATGGCCCTGCCCGGGTCCTTCTGCCCCCTGGCGGCGCGGGCGCAGACTGCGGCATTCGGATCAATGACCTCACGCCCTCCTTTTCCAGACTTCGTCAACATTTATTGGTGCCAGCAGCATGCTCTGCGCTGGGCGCTGGCTAGACAGAAGTGATAAGAGGTTGTTCCTGCCCTTGGGGTGTAAACAATAACTACAAAAGGAGGAGAAAAAGAAAAAAAAATGAGGGTACAATCTCCTTCGCAGGGCACACAAGGCCAGTGATAGCAAACCTCACATGCCTGTGGCCCCAGGCAAATGTGAAGGAGAGAGATGAGGGGTGCTTGAAAACAAATGCCTAGGTTCAACGGGCTGGTAAGTGTTCCTCCAACACAGCAGTGCTACCAGTGAGTGGGTTAAGTGGTGCCAGAGCTTCTGCTTCCCAAAAGCAATGGAAACTGGGACTTTAAAAGAGAACCTACTAAACTTTAAATAATTGTGACTATTTAGAAAACTTTTAAAATAGTGTGTGTGTGTGTGTGTGTGTGTGTGTGTGTGTGTAGACAGCAAGCAACACCTGTCTGCAATAGGGCTTGTGGTTCATTCTCTCTGCTCCCCTTGAATGGACTTGAAGTTCTGTGAACACCCCAAGTCTCTGCAGTTACATTCTGTGGTTGTAGTGTCCCAGCTTCTTAGGGTGCAGTGAGACTCAGAAACCGTTGAGACTCAGGGAACATTTTTAGAATCATTGTTTAAACTCCTGGATTTGTCCAACTCTGTATACTCTGAGTCTAGCAACAGGCTGGAACCTGCATAGGGACAACAAATGGTTAACGAAGGATGGAAGAATGCTTGCTCATACAGCATTGCAGGCCAACAGCAGCTCAGCCCACCACCTGACCCCATCAGCAGCACACTGACCTCGTACTTGACAGTCCTTCTGGGAGGTCGAGAGAGAAAGGCAGGAAGGGCAGCAATGCCAAGTTAGAAATGGAAACACCCAGAGCCAGTTCTTAATTCCCAGAAGGGCAGCTAAGAACTAAGCATGAAAAGAGTTGACAGGGTGGCTTAAGAATGGACCTTGTTTCTTAAATGTTCCTGCAAGTTAAAATCACCAGAGGCACCCTATGCCAGGCAAATCAGAATCTGAGGGAGGCCTTGGCATCAGTGAAGCTCCCCAGGTGCTTCCAACATGGAGCCAAGTTTGAGAGCCATGATGTAGATATAGGCCACAAGTTCTCAAAGTAGGCTGGCCCTGCTTGGGAACTTGTTAAAAATTCACACGCTTGCCCTAACCGGTTTGGCTCAGTGGGTAGAGCGTTGGCCTGCAGACTGAAGGGTCCCAGGTTCGATTCCAGTCAAGGGCACATGTCCAGGTTACCGGCTTGATCCCCAGTGGGGAGTGTGCAGGAAGCAGCTGATGAATGATTCTCGCTCATCATTGAAGTTTCTATCTCTCTCTCCCTCTCCCTTTCTCTCTGAAATCAATAAAAATAAATAAAATTATAAAAACACACACACATGCTTGGGCCCTATCCCAAACTTGATCAAAACTTCCATGTAATTCTCAGGGATGCTAAAGTTGGAGAATCATGGGTGTAGACAGTTCTCCAGGAACAGGACCCAGGAAATGTTTCCTTCCTCTCCCAGTGCTGCCATCACCCACTGGAAACCTTTAGTCTGAAGTGGCCTGTGTACTTGCCTTATGGGAGACAGTCTAAAGCTGCATGTGGCTAATCAGAATTGAGATGTACTGTAAGTATAAAATACCAGATTTCAAAGGCTTAGTACCAAAAAAAGGGGAGATGTCTCATTAATACTTTATTTTTAAAAATATTTTTATTGATTTCAGAGAGGAAGGAGAGAGAGAGAGAGAGAGAGAGAGAGAGACCCACAACCCAGGTATATGCCCTGACCGGGAGTCCTAGAGTAACCTTCTGGTTCATAGGTCGAAACAAACACTGAGCCAAGCTGGCCGGGCTCATTAATAATTTCTTACATTGATTATATGTTGAAATAATATTTTGGAGATGTTGAGTTAATTAAAATTTCACTAAAATTAGTCTGGCCTTTTAAAATTAATGTGGCTACTAGAAATTTTGAAATTACACATGACTCACACTTTATATTTCTATTGAACCAGGCTAGTCTATAGAGTTCTACAGCCGAGAGCTTCAGAACCCCTTTGAATTCATTCGGACCTGGGCTGTGGATTAAAAAATCCTTGATACAATCAGAAATTGTCACCAAAAAAAGAGCCCCATCCTCCAATTCTGATTCACTTAACCCCTCATCCGTTTGTGTCATCTGTAAAGTGGGCTTATAAATACAATGCGCCAGGGGCTATTAGGTAAGCGAGTGGCATGCTCAAAGCATTAAAGCAGGACTCTAGGTCTCTCCTCCGACTCTGAAAATGCAGGGTTGGAGGGGACCAAAAGGCATTTCTTAGTTTAAAGGGGGTAACTGGCAGCTGAGTGACACATGGCCAGGAACGGCACCCCTCACCTCGCCAGGGACCAGTTGCGATGACAAGAACCCAGCTCAGGTCCAGGCTCCGCTCCTTGCTCGCCGAAGCTTTGAACAGGTGAGTCCAACGGTCTGAGCCCGGGTTTCCCTTCCAGTCCAAGGTTGGGTGAGGCTTTGGAGATGCAAAGTGGTAGTTCTTGGCGGCTCTCCCACCGCACCTGCGCCCAGGACACACCGTGGCGTTCTGCGACCTACCCGGTCCGGGACCCAAAAGCTAGAAGATCTGATCGTGGCTCTTAGGAAACTAATCAAGAGCTCTTATCCGGGGGCACATCTGGAAACAAGGTATTTTACGCTACAAAGAAATCACTTCCGGGTCAAAGAAGGCAAGTGGGCGTGACCCTGGGGGGTCCCTTCTCACACATACACCCCCACCCCCGCCCCCAACGGGCGTTGAGTCTCCTGGCTACCCGGCTACCAGAAAGTTGCGGTTTTCTGGGTTCCGGTTGTTGACAAGCACCGCTACTTCCCTTTTTGCTGCACGTACGCCTTTGCACATGCCCAGAGCTCTGGTCCGCCGGTCCACGGAACACGGTTTTATTACAAAAAACTACATTTCCCAGAAGACTGCGCGGGTAGGCGGGGCTTCGTCGCCCGAGAGGAGAGGAGCGGCGCTCGAGTGGACTCTGAGTTTGTGACCTCTTTCTTTTATTTAACACAAAAAATGGTGTATCCGCACGCAGGGCCCCGCGGCCGGGGCAGACCCAGTGCGGATGGACCAGCGCGGCCTGGCCCCTTAGAAGGTGAGGCCGAGCTGCCCTCGGAGAACGAGTGAGCCCCTCCCCGCCCTGCCCCTCTCCTGGAGTTTGGAACTGTCAAGCTTCAGCTCCTACCCTCTCCCAGGTTCAAGACCCCTGTGTGTCCTACGCTGTGGGCCCGGCCGCGCTCGGGGACCGGGTCGGGCCTGCCTGGCCTGTGAGGATTTGCACCAGCAGGTCGGTGGCTAGCATGTGAGATGGCTCCTCGAAACCGATGGTCAGCAGCTGCTGGTAATCTCCGGACGGCTGCGGGCACAAAATCCTGGGGGCCCAGGACAGACAAGGCTGGACGTGAGCGCCCTCTGCTTCTCGGGAGCCTCTCCCCTCGGGTGAGGGGCTGGGACTGAAAGAGGCTTTGTTTCGGCTGGTGGGGAAAAGTGGTTTCCTTGTTGATGAGAAGCCTAGGGTACTGGTTCGGGGAGGCTGAACGAGGCATCCCTCATTTGACCAATCATCTAGCTGCTGTGTGCCCTTGGGCAGGCAACCTCTCTGGGCACCTGTTTCCTTCTTTGTAAAAATGGGCTAGTTACTTAGTATAGACCTAAATGGGTTTTACATAAAGCAGTTTTCAGAACATAATAAAATGTTATGGTTGTTACCAAAGGGAACAATGTTGGGCGGGGGGGTAGTTGGTCTTTGGTATGGTTCTGCCCCTCCCTCCAGAGCCCACGCCCGCCTTGCCATGGCCCTAGCTCCTACCAGGAATAAAGATCATCCTCGGCTGGTCCTAGGGGCACCCATCGGCCGATGGACCACAGCTTCTGAATCTGGGGACAAGAATTGGCCGGACTCTTGCCTGTTTCTTCCCATGTATCTCGATAGCACAGGAAGTAGCTGGGAGGGGAAGAGGCAGCAATTACGAGTGAGCAGTTTTCTAGCTTCTTCTGTTAAGGGCTTTAATTTTGAAGGTGAGGTAGAAACTCATCAGAAGTTGCCTTCAAGTTCTCAGCTAGGGATGTGACACAATACTGAGGCCTTTTCTCTCTGCCAGACTACTTTTAAGATGAGGACTTTTATTTTGATTGGGGGATGAATTTTTTAAAAGGCAAGGATGGCCTTTCAAAGGTCCTTGGTTTCCTGTTTGACTTTCCACACCTCAGTGGTGGTGGTTCAGAGGCCCATACTGTCATTCTCCATAGAGTGGGTAGGGACTTTGATTCTGGTAAGGGGACTCACTAATCCACATGGGAATCTTGCCCCCGGCTGCTGGGGTCTGGGGTAGTTTCCAGGTTCCAGCGCATCTTCTTATAGAGGTACCGGGGGAAGCGGCTGGTGGTGTAGGCAGCAGGGGCACAGTATCTGAAGATGGACACCTCGTGGGAAGGACTGATGGAGAACCTCCCACAGAAGAAACAGGAGATGCTGGGAAGAGATGGGAGAGTGGGGAAGGAGGTTGTGCCCCAGACCCTTCTACTCCCTACCAATCCCAGTCTCCCACCCTATTACCTTAGGGGGTCTGTCTCTTCCAGTTCCACAAACCCAAACGATGCATACATGAGCACCAGCTGTTCCAGTCGCAGGGTCAGCTGTTGGGAGATCTCCAACAGCTGCATGGAAGAGGAGGCATCATAGTATTAGCTGGCCTACCAGGAGCACGTGCCCCTCCACCTCCCTCCCCGAGGCCTGAGGGATGACGAAAGGGGCATGGGGTTTAGGGAACTGCCCCCACACACCCCCTTTCGAACCAGCTCCTGCAGAGCTCCATAGATGGGAGGCACACTCCTTGCAGCTGCCTCCAGGTACAGGAAGTAGGGCTCACACATTTTTAAGAAGGTGGGCATGGCCTTTGCCAACTGTTCCTTCTGAACTCGGTCCCTGCTGAAGGGAGAAGACGACCTTTGCTTAGGATCTCTTATCACCCCTCATTTCTCCCATTCTACTCAGCCTCCCACTTTTATCCCTGGTCTGGACCTTGGGTACACCCTCTCCACCCCCACCCTCCACCCCCACTCCAGATCTTTCTTTGTCAGAGCATCTTCCAGGACAACCTGCATCACAGCTATTTGGAACACCTGGTAAAATGCTGACACCTGAGTCCCATGGCTTATTTTTTGCAGGTGGGACCGGGAAACCTAGGGTTTAAACAGCCCCCCCAGAATCAGTCTCTTTGGGCTGCAATCACATTCTCCTTTTTGGTCTCAAACTGGTAACCAGCGGACCAAATCTGGATCAGATGGGTTTTGTTTAGCCTGCCCAGGATCCAAAACCTAAGCCTTCTGTTAAAAAAACAAAAAGTCCTAGAGATTTGGCAAACTGGGGCCCAATAGCAGGTACTCCCTAACCCCAAATAGCACACAGCCCTCATCACTCTTCCAAATTAGATTCCCAATCAGCTAGCTTCATTCATTGCCTCTAGCTCCTAATGCTTTTAAGTTTGCAACTCTGGTGTGTTCCACCTGCCGGAATCCAGTCACCCCTCTCCTGTTTCCTTATGTACGGGGACCCTGGGACTCTGTCCAGCACTACCTGTAGAGCAAGTAGCTTTGGAAATCATCCGCCTTCTTGAGCAGGTAGCGGAGTTGTTCCATGATGGGGCTGAACAGGGTGTCCAAGGGTAGGCGAGGAGGTGTGGGGCCCGGGCCCGGGGCCAGAGGCTCTGGGGAAGGCGTGGAAGGGGAGGTCTTGGGCAGTTGCCCGTGGACATCCTCCGGTTCCACTTGGACTGGGTCCCCAGGTCGGCTAGAGGGCGCCGACCACGAGGGGTCTCCGCAGGGCTGAGCCCCAGGTTCCATGTCGTCCTGGGGCAGCTTTTCCCCAGTGCCGCCGGGGAGGATCGGCTCCACGAACCACTGCTCCGTAGCCATTGTGGGGCTGGAGGAAGGGATCTGAGACCTTTAAGTCTACACCACCCCGGTTGGCCACGGGTTCGACCCCGCCTGGGAACCTCCGATTCGCCCTGGACGGGAGCGCAGCACCGTCCACCTCACTCCTGCCTCGACCGCTCTGCCAGCGGCAGAGCACCGCGCGGAGTTCACCCCGTTTGAATTTCAACACGTAGGAGGGGCGCGCCGCTGGGGTCCGCTTGAGCGCGCGCTCCAGCAATCCAACGGAGGTGGGGTGGGGGCGACCTGGGCCGACACTGGGGAGGTTATGTCTTTGGGGTGCGGTCTGGGGGCCACCGCCTTTCTCTTGGAGGCAGTTTCCTAGGGAGGAAGCGGTCTCTGCAGCGCGTTCAAGCCCTGGGGCGCAGGAATATAAAAGTAGACACCTGCTCCCACCCTGAGAGCCTCCGACTCCAGGACGGAATCTGTATTTTAAAAACTAAGGGAGTGCCTGGAGGGTGGCTGAGCACGGACCTCTGAACCAAAAGGTCACTGACTCCGGGCACATGCCCAGGTTTCCAGTTTGATCCCCAGTAAGGTGTGCATGAGGCAGCTGACCCATGTTTCTCTCATCCATGTTTCTACTATCCCTCTTCCTTCAAAATCAATAAAAGCATATTAAAAAACAAAAAACAAAACACAGCTCTAACGGGTTTGGCTCAGTGGATAGAGCCTCGGCCTGTGGACTCAAAGGTCCCAAGTTGGATGGGCATATACCTTGATTGCGGGCACATCCCTACTGGGTGTGCAGGAGGCAGCTAATCGATGTTTCTAACTCTCTATCCCTCTCCCTTCCTCTCTGTGAAAAATCAATAAAATATATTTAAAACAAAACAAAAAACTAATGGGAGTTTTCCTGACCGGTTGCTTAGTGGTTAGAGCCTCAGCCCTCAAAAGGGTCTAGGTCCATCCAGCCCTGGTTGGGGCACCTGGAAGAGACAACCAATCAATGTCTCTCACATCTATGTTTCTCAGTCTCTCTCTGCCCCACCTCCTTTCCACTCTCAAAAAACAATGGAAAAAAATAGCCACCAGTGAGGGTTAACAAAATAAATTAAAAAACTAATGCAGTTGAGAGAAACTGCATTAGAACTTAATAGGGATGATCTCATTTGATAACCCAATCCCTTGTTCCTTTTATGGAGAGAGGACCTTGTAGCTTGGAGGTCCTGCCATGGACCCTGCTCCAACAGTTTTTGTAGCTTGCAAGGCTGTCAGACGTGTACATATGAAGCCAAATACTTTAATTATACTTAAACTCTGGGTAAAGTGCTCACAGGTGTTGGATCCCACCCTGTGTGACCCTGAGCAAGTATCTTTGCCATAGGGAGTCAGTTGCCTATCTGTAAAGTGATTTTTACAAACTCTGCTTCTTGGGGCTGCAGAGAGAACCAAGAAAATGTAAAGCTGCCTAGCTGGTGTGGCTCAGTGATTGAACCTCAACCCATGAACCGGGAGTTGACGGTTGGATTCCCAGGCAGGGCACATGCCTGGGTTACAACTGATCCTCAGCAGGGGTCATGCAAGAGGCAGCCAATAGGTGATTCTCATCATTGTTTCTCTCTCTCTCTCCCTTAAATCAATAAAAACACATTAAAAAAAAATAAATTCCTTAAAAAACACACGAAAAACAAAAGCCGAGGTTAACTGCTAGTCACTCAACAAACATTTAAGCACCAACTGTTACAGGTACTGTTCTGGGCATGGGGAGATGATAGAACTGCGCAAACATTCCTGTCCTCCCGGAGCAATCACTATTATAGCTGGCTGTGAGGCAGCCCCATTCACTACCTGTCTCCCTCTGAGAACAATTCAGTACTATCCCGGCTCTCCCAGGAGGCTGGTGCGGTTCTTCAATACCCCGCTTCCCCAACTCCATTGATAAAATGGGACTCCTGGCCTTTTTTTCTTTTCTTTTCTTTTTTTTAAAACTTTATTTAAAAAATCTTCGGTGCAATATTAAAAAGCAATACAGCCAGCTGGAGCGACAACCAACAGAAAGAGTAGGGAAGACCCACCGATCTCACCCCACCCAGGGGATGGAGGCTGAGGGCAGACCAAGGAGGGGCCTGGTTGATGGGGGAGGGAAGAAAGGCCACCCATCAAAATGAACAGGCAGAACAAATCATTTATATAGGAAACATCTGGCTGAACTAAAGATCTATGGGAGATAGGAAACCCCCATTTCTTTTTTTTTTTTCAAAAATGTCCTAGGTTGGGGGTGGGGGTGGGCCTCCTGGGGTGAAATGAGCAGGCCCTGTCCCACCCCACACTCCTCCATCAGGAAGTCTGGGATGTGCTCGATGCCAGATGTGTGTGTTGGGGAGACACTGGGGAGAGATGAGTAGGGAAGGGTGCCCCTCACTGGAATCTGTTATGAGGGCTGCGAGTGTCCCTAGTCCAACCCCTGGACTCCAGGGGACTTGGGTAAGATGGGTCTGGAAAGGGTAGGGGGCAGGGGTGAGGCTGGACGTTCAGCCTAGGAGGCCATCAGGGTCATCATCCTCAAAGTGGCCTTGCTGGAGCACCTTGATGTGGTGCTCGTAGATTTTCAGGGCTGGGCCAAGGCGGATGGACAGGCCGGTTAGCACATCTGTCCGCTGCATGAGCAGAAGAGACTTGCCATCTATTTCCTGGGTGGGACAGAGAGAGACGGAGAGCAGGGTCAGAGCAGACCCCCACTGCCCTGGGATAGAGGAGGGAAGCTGAGGGTTGGAAACTCACCTGTTCTTGGAAAGCTGTTGCCTGCTCCGGGAAGCCAGCCTCTGTGAAATATTCTACCACGTCCATCACTGTCCATTCTACAGGGTCAGCGGGCTTCTCTTTGCGCCCAGAACTGCATTGGAAAAGAGGGAACCGGTGACCAGTGATGTTACTCGGGTTGTTACACACCCCTGGGCACCACCCTCTTGTCTCAAACATCCCAACTTACGGACAGCCAAAGGGCGTTCCATCGGCCCCAGGTAGGGCTGGTTTTCCTGGGGGCAAAGGCACGGGGGATGGGGAGTCTGGCCCAGTGGCAGCAGAGGCTGGGAAAGAAAAAGCATCTGCCTGTGACTTGGTCTTGGGGCTTGATTCCTCCCGACCAGGCTCCCTCCCCCACCCAGAGGCGGTCCTTACCTGATCCCCCTTCCTTATTCATGGCTGCCATGGAGAACACCTGGCGGGTGCCACTGCCTGGCGCTGGCCCCCGCCCTTCATCCTGGCCCTGGTGAGGTCCACAAGGTGTCCACTCCTTGACCCTCTCCTTGGCACTCTGAGGGCCCCTCTCACCATTAAGCTGGTGATGCTGGGGACCTGCAGGACGGTCACCCTCGGGTACCTCGGAGCCTTCAGACACATTGTCTTCATCATCTTCATCTTCTTCTTCATCTTCCTCCTCTTCCTTCTCAAGCAGTCGCTCTTCTCCACCTCTCTGGTGCCGAGGAGGGAGGCACGCAAAGTTAGCAGCTGTTCTGGCCGTGGGCCCAGTCCCTGGGATCCAGGACTGAGCGGTGTACCTAACGGCCACTTTTAATATCAACACGGCCTAACTTCTACACATTGCTCCGTGCCAAGCTCTGTGTTCATAAAGCTCCCAGTAGCCAAATCTCACTAAACTCGCTCAACCCCAAGAGGTCGCTACTGTTGTTAAGTTTTACACCGGAGGAAACTGAGGCTCGGAAAGATTAAGTCACTTACCAAGGTTGCTACACGCTCAATCTGTAGGGAAGCCGCACAAAGCCCAAGCTGCCCGTTCCTCCCGAGACTTGCACCCCCAACACCAAGTTCACCCGCACCTGCCCACTGCGCGGCGCCGTCCCTACCCGGCGCGCTCACCTTGCTCCGAGACGCGCGGGC